AAAGTAGTATAAAAAAATTGTCCCTATAATATCATCTTTTATTTATCGTATAGGATCAAACTTTTCTTTATGCTTGTTTAGTGCATTTCTTTCCATTTTTTCTCACATTCTTGTGAATTTTTTCTTGGTTAATTATTGAAAGAAAAATAATTAATATACTTTTTGATTCAATATATCTATTAAAACTTATTTATTTAATTATTAATATTTACAGTGTTAAATTGTTTGTTTTTAATTTAAATTTAAAAATAATTATTTTTTAATAAATATATTATAAAATATATCAATCATTGTCCTTATTAAGCACGTCATAGGTTAGAGGAAATTCATGCCCTACGTCCTCTAAAGGAATGCTTGGCAATTACAAAGTGGGGTCATGTGTAGAAGATGCTTCTTCGTGACGTGTCATGGAAATGGAAATAGAGATGCCTTGGAAATTTTTAATTAGGATAGCCTAACCTAGTTAAGGTATAACTGTGAAGTCCAAAATCTTCGCCAAGATTGAAGAAAACAAAATGGAAATTAGGAGTGATTTAGACGAATGAAATATGTCTATGTAAGAGTACTGAAAGGAACCTCTCTTTTGCATCTTGATTGTTGGTTTTGGATGTTTAGGATGCACTGAGGAAAATGGCGAAATCAAAGAGCCAGAGAGTACAGAGAGTGGGTATAAATTTGGTCTTTCATGCCCAACACAGACAAAGACTATTAGGACTTTGTTAGGTATAGTTTTGTTCTACAAATTGAAAGCAATGGCGCAATACCGCAACTCAATGCCTCAAACTAATCACTAAACGGTAGCACCCAATTGCCTTCGCCTTCTAAACATATTTTATTCCCAATGGTGTTAATTAATTAAGTTCTCGTACATATATGTAAGCACTTCTTATATATACTCAAAATTGTTACTTCTTTGTATAAATAATATAGAAAAAAATGATATTCATGTTTTACTGGTCGGTTTGTATTTTTAATATGTAATTTGACTTATAAAATTATTAAATTATTTTAATAAAATAATATAAAAATATTTTTATTAAGGATATTTTAATAAATGTATAGGTTAAACTACACTTCTAATGTATAATCTGACTTTCAAAACATTTTTTTTATTTGAATCTATGTATATATATATGGTTAGAATCAACTTATACTAATATAAATGTAACACCAATTAAGGCCGAGCATTGGATATCAGTACACCACTACCTAAAAGTGCTCTGCTCATTTGGAATGGTTTTTTTGGTACGATAAAAGGGAATACTAATCTAAAATTAAATTTTCACTGCTTAGGTTTTATGAAAGGAAAATGATTGGTACATATTATAAAGTTACATACTCTGTTACACACTGACAATTTCTGTTACTTGTGCCATTAAAGTTAGCGGTTTCTGTTATTTATAATGTTAAAATTGACAGTTTTCATTAGTTGTGTCATTAAAACTAATGGTTTCCCGTTATACACTGACAAAAACCATCCATGTATAACGGAATGTGTAACTGTGCAAAATGTATATATCATTGTCTTTTATGAAATATTGCTCTAATGTTATGAATCTTTTTTTTAAAAAAAAAAAAAAATAGTGTGCTAATGTTGAGATCACGAATAGAGAGGATTATAGTTGTGTGCGTTGAGCTTATTTGAGCACTGAGACCATTGATTTTAAGCTCAAAATAACCTAATAATTGAGCTAGAAAAATTCAACCTTGAGATCATATTTATGTATACCTTTGAAGCTCACGCTGAACTTTTCATAAACTCATTTTGATTGTATGGAAGCTTGACTTTTATTATTCAATTTATAAGTGAATGTAATTATATAGAATAGGAATTTATTTATATATGAGTTTTATATATTACATTTGTATGAAATTTTCATCATTTATTTTTTTATTTTTAATAATTGAGTTTTATCATACCTTTTTAAATAAAAAATAATAATTATTTGTAATAAATATTATAAAAAATAAATAAATCTTAACAATTGAAAATGAAAAGATGATTGATCAATATTTCATATAAAATATAATGTATAAAATTAATATATAAATGAATTGTTACTCAGTTATATAATATATTTAGACACTCAAAACTTTTAAGTCAACCATTCGAGTCTAACTTTAGTTCCAATAGCTCTAACTTTCTTTCTTACACACCCCTTGGGTTTATTTTTGTTCAAGTTCTTATGCTTAACACATGCCTCCAACTTCCCACCCCACTCTCCGCCCCACACGGTAGAATTTTTCAAGTTCTATGCAGTGTTTAACACGCACACCACCACCCCCACCCCCCCTAAGTGTATAGGTGCTTAACACACACACGCACAAGCCGGCCCTTACCTGGATTCTAGTTGCTATATAAAATTATTTATTATTTTTTAATTTTTCCCTGCGCAAGTAGTTGGTAGGTTAACATGCATTATTTGTTTATAGATAGATATTTAGGTCACAAACTTAAATTAATAATCCACTAAAGTTGGTCCTAAACGCAATTCTTATACTTGTTAGAAAGAAAAAGAAAAAAACAGATTAACTTCTCATGATGGATGCATAGGTGTGATTATTGTCACACATAATTTTAACCTCTTTTACTTTAAATAGTTAATTATAATAATTAAAAATATTAATTTATACATTAATTTTAAATTATTTATATTGCTATATTAATTATTAATTAATTACTATAATTATAATTTAATTGGACTTTCGAGTTTAAATGATTTACTTTCAATTTTTAAGGCATTTGAGTTAGTTGGTTAGAGTTTAAACTTTTACCAATTTTTTGAAAAATCTTTTTTTCCAATTCTCTAAAATTGTAAATTATTAAAAAAAACTATTATAATTATAATTATTCTTAAAAATTAAACTTAATAAAATTAATGTTTTTTAACTACCATATTAACAAATTTGTGTGGGGACAATAAATTAGTCCGTGGACATAACATTCCACGCCTGACCGATTCTTACATAAAGTTTTTGGCTTGCCATTAACCATTGAAAAGTCTGCCCATTAAGAATCACTCGTGATTGATGATTTATACATGTAAAAGGTAAACAGTTATATTTTATTTTATGTTTTAAGTATAATTAAAGATCTATTTGTTTTTTGAACATGCTAAAGATCTATTTATTATATTTTTATAATTAATTAAATAAAAATATAAATTTAACTTTT